AGCTGAACATTATGAGTTGTCAGGTTATTCACAGTGTCGTCAGGACAAGCGGAGATATGGTATACACGAGCGTCTTCTGAATACCATCCCTTTCTCTCCTCACTCTTCCCGTTTTCTCCATGCTTACAACCCGCTCATGATATCGATCTGTTCATCCAGGAAGATATACTCCACATAGTTCGCTAGGATAGGAAAATAAATGTCTTTCATCTAGTATATTCCCAAGGCATCTGCGTTACTTCGCATTTGCGGATTTCATCACCCGTATGACATTTCGCATCTAACCTATCACGTGAACAGACTTGCTATCAGTCAGGTAACTCAGTTCGAACTGACTGAACTGACTGCCAAGACTCAGTTCAGTCAGTCAGTTCTTGAGGCAGCTGGACGTCAGTCCAGTCAGTTCAGAAGCCTCCAGACTGACTGAACTGACTGACGTTAGACTGACGTTAGCTGTTTTTAAAGCAGTATTTTAGAGTTGTGAAAGCCACATTTAGTGCGGCTTCGAAGCCGCGCTAGTCCTAGATATAAAGACACTAATCCTATATAAGTTAAAGCATCTGGCTTTAAGCTAATTAGAGTTTGCGGAAATGCGCTACCCGGTGCGCACCTAGTAAGCCTTTCGCGTCGCGTCGCGTCGCGTCTGCTATACACACGACGCTAGACTACTGTTGCCATAATACTTCTTGGTGTACTTCATGTCTACTCCCTCTAATTCAGGCCTTCGCCGCCTTGTAGAATGCGACAAGCGCAATTCTCCTCTACCATCGCTATCAAACGCGCCTACTGTTGGCGATACTGCGAGCGAGGCCCAGGCTGATGAGCCCTTGGCAGTACAGGCGGACTTCCCCAACGACGGCGACGACGACGACGACGACGACAATTACGACGGGCTTGATTTTAAGCGTGTGCCGTATCTTGAGCGGCGCCAGGTTGAGCGTAATAGTCGCGGTGGGCCAAAAAGCTGGATCTACCGCCACGGCTGGGCCGTCTGGCACCGCAAGTACAAGAAAAACTACTGGCTTTGCCGGTACTGCCATCAACGACGGAAGCAGGAGGCTTGCTACGAGGCTGACAGCACTACAAACGCCGGCCGACACCTCTCAAGCAACAAGCCTGGACACTCACACGGACCTAACGGACCTGTACCAATTGCTAGCCGGGAGGGCAATATTATGGGCGCGCTCGCAAAGTCCCAAGTATATATTATGAGGTCTAAAGGGATAGAAGTATCGCAAGAGGTAGCAAACGAGATAGCAGCAAGCTTTTCAACCTCTCGATTTCAGGACGCGCTGAAGGACTGGGTAGTCGCGGACAACCAGAGCCTTCGCGTAATAGAAACGCCGCAGTTTCGAGCCATGATTGCGGCCGTGAGCCCGCTAGCCGAAGCTCTCCTTTGGCGTAGCCACTAAACGCTCCACGATCATATTATTACTGAGTACAATACATACATACTAGCTGTTGCCAACTACCTTCGCGAAGCCCGGTCGCTTATACACGTGTCATTCGACAACTGGACTTCAACTGGTGGGCAGTATGCTTTTACTGGCCTCTGCGTACATTACCTTAACAGCGAGGGCAAGCTAGTTGACCACCTGCTTGGGTTGCCTGAGCTACACGGGGCGCACACTGGCAATAATATTGCCGCTGCAGCAACAACAATACTTCGGCTATTTGGCGTTGACAACGCGAGGGTTGGGTACTTTGTGCTTGACAACGCAAGTAACAATGATACTGCAGTTGAGTCCTTAGCAGAGGAGTTTGGCTTTATCGCAAGCGAGCGGCGGCTGCGGTGCTGCTGCCATATACTCAACCTAAGCGCACAATTAGTAATTTGGGGCAAAGACCGTAGCGCGTACGAGAATGAAGCCGCACACCTTGAGGAAGAGGAGAAGTACATGGATGAGTGGCGCAAATACGGTCCTGTTGGCGTCCTCTTTGACGTGATTGCGTCTATCTGTACGCCTCAAACTCGACAACTACTAGAGCGCCTACAGTGCGAGGAGGCAGAGTCTCTAGGTGTTACACCCCACATCCGGCAGCTTGTGAAGCCTGTTAAGACACGCTGGAATAGCTATTTCAACACGTTTGTCCGTGCAGCTGAGCTACACGGCCCTATCGATGGCTATATTGAGTGTAAACTTGAGGAGCATAGTGCTGCAACAGCAACCTCACGACGCCGGAAGAATCGTGAGCAGCTCCCTGCTGCCCAGCCACGGTTATATATACGCGAAGGGGGTCTAAGCGGCAAGGACTGGGCGACAATAACAGAATACATTCGACTCCTTGAGCCATTTGCCGAAGCTGCACGGCTACTTGAAGGTCGCGGCCGACACGGCCGACACGGCGCTATATGGGAAGTTCTAGTAACGTTTGAGTGGCTTCTTGACCAGCTTGAGGCTCTCAAAGACCGCCTTAAGGATGTAAATTACGAAGATCTAGATGCGCCTGAAGATCATCTTATTACAAACGTTAACCTTGCGCATTGTAAGCTTGCTGAGTACTACGCAAAATTCGATAACGCGCCTGTCTACTACACTGCTACAATACTACACCCGCACTACAAACACCACCTCTCAGCGCTCTGGAAGGTGCCTGACACCCATGTCACTGCCCGTGACGGTGTCCACTATCGCGACGGCTGGCTTGACAATAACCACCGGGCATTCCTGCGTATGTGGCAGGGGCGGAAGGACTCTGCAGCCACTTCAGCTCACACTGTAACGCCGCCGCGTAAGAAGCCCCGGCTAGGGATTTCAACGTCGCGATCAGCTTTTCTACAGTCGTCAATTGAGCAAAGCACACGGCAGTTAGAGGCAAGCCTTGCTGAGGATGAGTATGAGATATGGAAGCGGCAACCAGCGTTAGCTGAGGAGGATTGGCTGTCTCTTAATCCGCTTCTATACTGGGAGTCAGTTGCTGGGCAGTTCCCTATACTCTCAAAGTTCGCTATTGACGTCCTAACAATACCAGCAGCAGCGGCAGACTGTGAGCGGAATTTCAGCGAGCTTGGCGACATGTTAGGCACCCGGAGACTCCATATGAAGCCAGAGCTTATTTCAGCTTTGCAGAGCTTGAAGAGCTGGAAGAGGCTTGGTATACAGCCAACAACTACCTCAGCTTCTGGGCTAGCGCGCACACTATCAGAGGAAGAAATCTCAAAAGTACAGGAGCATTTATCTCAGTTCGACGTCAGGTAACTCAGTTCAGTCAGTCCAGTCAGTCCGCAGGCCGCGGCGACGTCAGTTCAGTCAGTCAGTTTTAGTTTAATTGAAAAGTCTTGGCAGTCAGTCCAGTCCAGTTCAGTGACCTCAGGACGTCAGTTCAGTCAGTCCAGAGAGCTCCGGACTGACTGAACTGACTGATAGCAACTCTGCACGTGAATGCTGGGAATCCCAAATCCTCAACCGCTGATCGCTAGGAACGTGAAGGAACATGATCTGGAGTTATGCACTTCCCCGGGATGCCAATTGTGGGTCATGGCTTGACTGGGACCAGCTGGATGGTGCATATAGAGCAGTTGTCTCCTCTTGATAGATATAAACGTCATTTGGTAGACCTCATGCTTTGTAGTTGTAGTCTATTGTCAACACCATGACGAAAATAAGTACCTGCAATGTCGCTGTTGGGTTGAACATTGCCAAGGGCAATTTCACATACGGTTTCGGTATAAGATAATGTTGCGCTATCTTAAACCCATTTTTGACAATCCTTCAGGATTCGCCTCTTTGGCAATCAGTGTCGGACAATTGGGTTCCTTCTGGTGCTTTCATATCGAGACAACTGGAACAGGCGCGAGCTAGACCAACAGTATCTTGATTTCGGTGATTGCTCCTTTCTTTTTCGGGGCATGCATAGGAGCACTTTTTGGGGAGGTGGGTCATCTCACTAACAGAATTGGACGGCTATGGTCTCTCATCATGCCTCAGTCCTATCCATACTCAGCGGCTCACTTACAGCCAGTAGTGTGCATTTGCAATGCTCATCATCGTACGGATCATCCAAGCGAGCGGCCTCGGCGGGTTGGCTACATTGGTTCCCATTTATCTGGCCGGAGCCTCGTCAAACGAGGCATGCTAACAGGTCTCTACGGGTTCTTTCTTGTCTGTGAGTAGAACATCTCTGCATGATGGGTTGGATCCAGATGCTACTTCTCAAAGAACCTGACATTCGATTGGCGAGGATCGCTCGCGTTCACCTGTTTACCACCCATGGTACTTCCCATCAGCTATATCTGCGGACGAGAGAGTCCTCGCCGGCTGATCGCCCAAAAGCGCGCACCGGAAGGATGAGCTCTATTGAGAATGTTCCGTGCTGATCCAGACAATCCGGATAAGGTTGCTGCGCAGATTGAGCTCCAACTGAAAAGTTCGACTGGATATCTGTAACTGCGTGAGCAGTGTCGGGTGGAGGCTGTGTATCAACGATTGTATTGCTATCTGTTGTCGTGTTGTCATGTATGTGTACAAGAGCTCTCGGCTCAGAGGTAAGTGCACTTGCCCACCAGGCAGTGCCTGCTACAATAGGATATCATGTGACTCTAGTCACGTGGTTACAATATCTGTCGATATTCGAAACACGGGCGTACCGTAGAGAGTGTTCTTGTCTTGCTCATCCAGCACGCTGCCAATGCTACTGGCGTACTGGTAATCAATCGCTACTTTGTTATTGTCTACAAGAACCCGGGGTTGACAGAATATCTACAATACTAATGTACTGTGTGTACGCGCTTATAGGAGCTCTGGACAACCTGTCCTCGCTGTTGGCCATTGACAGGACGGATCGAAGATTTGTAAGTCGTCCCTCTTTCTTACACAGGTAGGCGCTTCTTACTGACTTGATGGAATGTATGATATGCGTGATCGTCCGGCGTCGCAATGGCAACGACGACGTATTTAACATTTGTAACTCCTGGAGCGACTGCTATCGCAAATGTCGGCTATAAATACTTGTTGGTAGGTCCCACAATAAGTGTTGAGACTTATCAGGCGCTAATTGTGTTAGTGTTTGCCTGCCTGGCCCTGGTGTCGGTAGTTGTCGTCTACTTCATGTACCTTGAGACCAGGAACAAGAGTCTCGAGGAGCTCGCGGCGCTGTATGGAGACGCGGTGGTAGTGCATCTGACAGATACAACAGCGGAGCAGATAGTCGAGATGCATAGGAGAACCAAAAGAGAAATGACGGCTGAGCATCCAGAGTACGGCTAAAGCATATAATCTAGTTCGGAACGGAGAAAGGAGAAAAAGTCAAGTCGCGAGTTTGGGCGTGAACCAAAGCTTCAAAATGTCGCGCCATAGTCTCATGAATCGAATTCTTCGCCGCCTGTTTCAGTCAACGCCAATCAGCATGTGATATTAGGAAGCAGAATGCGGTGTGGGATGCAGGACGGTATATCTCAGCCCTGCAGGCAGCCGAAGGGGACTAGGGCGGGCAAAACGAAAAACGTGCAGGCAAGCGGCGCTTTGACCCGTGGTTGAAATAATAATTTAGTTTGGGCATATACAAGGCCGCCCCTCAGCGCCTTCTACTGCGTGCATCCTCTTCTTTCTTTCCCCAGTGCTCGTTTGTATTGTATAGACTCTCCACTCTTCCGTTGGGGCGTCTCTACTGTGCACTTTTGATACCCCGACACATTCCATTTCGCGCTGCTTACGCTGCAGCGGCGAGTGAGCCCCATAGTTATCGATAAGGGCAGCCCCTCCAAAAAGAAATCCCTCTTGCGGTTTCAAAGAACGACACGACACTACACACCAGGCTTCTGTTGCAGATGCCTCACTCTGAATCGCCTCCCATGGCTCCCGCGATAGTCGTCGACAAGGCCGGAACTGCGCCCGCGCCCTCGCAGGAGGATGTCAGCGCCTTCATCAGCAGCATCGTCACGGCCAAGACGTCGCACGCCTCGGTAGACGCCGCCTACGCCCTCACCACACTTCTCCAGAACTCGGTTGGCTTCCGCGGCCTCCAGGGCTATGGAGTCATCGAGGAGATCAAGAAATCCGCTGCCAACAAAAAGGACGCGGTGCGGAGAGAGGGCGCCATGAACGCTCTTGGCGCTTTCTTTGAGCGCCTCCCACGCACACAGCGGCTGACAGAGGTCATCTTTCTCGTCCAGGAGGCGGGTCTGATCCCTTTGGCACTCGATCTGCTTGCAGACAAGACCGGCTCCGTCAAGGAGTCCGCCAAGTATGCTCTCGACTCGCTTTTTGAGAACCTGAGCGCTGAAGCAAAGGTTTTTGGCCTCCTTCCTGTGCTTGTAAAGTACCTAGGCAAGAAGTCCGGAAAGTGGCAGGGTGCCGCTTTTGCCTATGAGCTTATCGGTCGCATGGCCGACAAGGCAAAGATGGGCATGGAAAGCCTTGAGGTCGAGAAGGAAAAAGATGTGCTGCGCGAGGCCATGGGCAAGAAGCTCGAGGGCCTCATCCCCATTGTCGAGGCTGGCATGCACGATCTCAAGTCTGAGGTATGTCATTCCCCGTACTCCTAAGATGAGGAAAATATGCTGACAATGGACAGGTCACCAAAGCATCCGTCAAGACGATGAACAGTCTCACTACTCTCCTCCAGAACGATGATATCGCGCCCCGGATACCGCTCCTCGTCAAGGCTATCGAAGATCCTTCAACACAGAGTCTGCAGAAGGCTATCCACGCCCTTTCGCAAACTACCTTCGTCGCCATCGTTACATCCCCCGTTCTGGCAATGGTCACACCTCTGCTCGAGCGCTCGCTCAACACGCCAAGTACTTCGCAAGAAGTTACCCGCCAGACAGTTGTTGTAGTCGAGAACCTGACTAAGCTTGTCCACGATCCCATTGAGGCTCGTGCTTTTTTGCCCAAGCTCCGCCCTGGTGTGAAGGCCGTCAAGGACAACGCATCCCTACCCGAAGTCCGAGAAATCGGTCAGCGTGCGTTGGACGTCATTGAGAAGGCCATGGCAGACCCAGATCATAACATTGAGAGCGGTGCGATTGCCCGCGCAGAGCCAGCAGATGTTCAGAAGGTTCTGGACAAGGAGCTCAACGCTTCTGCCACTCTCCTCAACTTCCCTGGAGATGCTGAGATCTGGGCCCTTACCAAGAACTACATCTCCGATATGATCGCAGAGGTTGTTACACAGCGTGAGCTCCAGCGCATCCCGAAACTCGTCGCACCTTACGTAGAGCCTCTGGTCAACCCTGGAGACGCCGACAAGGTCGCCGAGGCTGTACACAAATACTACGTTGACGAGGACCATCGCAAGTTTGGTCAGCCCATCAAGGAAGACGACGGAGAAGTTGAAATTGTAAACGCTGTCTTCTCTCTCGGATACGGTGGCATGTTGCTCCTCTCGCACACCAACCTCCGGCTATTGAAGGGTCACCGTTACGGTCTTTGCGGTCGCAACGGTGCCGGAAAGTCTACGCTTATGCGCAGTATCGCCAGCGGCAAACTGGAAGGATTCCCACCCCAGGATGAGGTCAAGACCTGTTTCGTCGAGCACAACCAGGGCGAAGATGCCGATCTCTCCATCCTCGAATACATTGTTCGTGACCCACGATTTGCGGACGAGAGCAGGGAGCGCATTTCTGAGGTTTTGGAAGAGGTTGGCTTCACTGCTGGCCCAGAGGGCAGACAATCACACAAGGTCGGCTCCTTGTCTGGAGGATGGAAGATGAAGCTGGCTTTGGCGCGTGCCATGCTTATGCGCGCCGACGTGCTTCTTCTTGACGAACCTACTAACCACTTGGACGTTGCCAACGTGGCCTGGCTCGGAAAGTATCTCAAGTCACACACTGAGATTACCAGTCTGATCGTCTCCCACGACTCCGGTTTCCTCGACGATGTCTGCACCGACATCTACCACTATGAACAGAAGAAGCTCGTCTGCTACAAGGGTAACCTTGCCGATTTCGTCCGACAGAAGCCTGAAGCCAAGAGCTACTACACTCTCTCCGATTCTCAGGTCCAGTTCAAGTTCCCTCCCCCTGGTATCCTCACAGGTGTCAAGTCGAACACTCGCTCCATTCTTCGCATGACCAACTGCTCGTACACCTACCCCGGTGCTTCTAAGCCATCTCTCGTCGATGCCTCGTGCAACTTGTCTCTGTCGTCGCGAGTTGCCATTATCGGTGCCAACGGTGCCGGTAAGTCCACTCTCATCAAGATGCTTACTGGCGAGACCATTCCACAAGAAGGTGTCGTAGAGAAGCATCCTAACTTGCGTATTGGTTACATCAAGCAGCACGCGCTTGAGCATGTTGAGATGCATATGGAGAAGACGCCCAACCAGTACCTGCAATGGCGATACGCCAACGGCGATGATCGTGAGGTGCTCATGAAGCAGACTCGTGTCCTCACCGAAGAAGACAAGAAGCAGATGGACACGCCCATTGATCTAGGCGATGGTAGCGGCCCCCGCAAGATTGAGGCGCTCATCGGTCGTGCCAAGTACAAGAAGACGTTCCAGTACGAGGTCAAGTGGCTGCACATGCTGCCCAAGTACAACACCCAGATTTCGCGCGAAACACTCATTGAGAAGGGTTTCAGCAAGCTTGTCCAGGAATTCGACGATCATGAGTCGTCGCGTGAGGGTCTTGGTTACCGTGTTCTTGAGCCCAAGGTCATTTCCAAGCATTTTGAGGATTTGGGCATGGACCCCGAGATTGCGAACCATAACGAAATCTCTGGTCTCTCTGGAGGCCAAAAGGTCAAGGTCGTACTTGGTAAGTACTCACTGCAACTGCTTGCATAATATTATAATCACGTGCTAACACATTCATAGCTGGTGCCATGTGGAACAACCCGCATCTTCTCGTCCTTGACGAACCTACCAACTTCTTGGACCGCGACTCTCTCGGTGGTCTCGCCGTCGCTATTCGTGAGTACAAGGGCGGTGTCATCATGATCTCGCATAACGAAGAGTTCGTTGGCGCTCTCTGCCCTGAACAATGGCATGTCGCCGACGGCCGCGTGACTCACAAGGGTCACCTCGCCGTCGACATGGGTCGTTTCGAAGACTCGCGCCCTGGCTCTAGCAACGTTAGCAGCAATGTTAGCTCCGCTGCGCCATCGACAACTGGCACGCCCGTCATGAGCGACGCCGAGGGTAACAAGGATGACATGAAGTTCAGGTCGAGGAAGAAGAAGAAGATGACCAAGAAGGAGGTCAAAGACAGGGAGGTCAGGAGGAGATTGAGATACATTGATTGGTTGAACAGCCCTAAGGTAAGTCTGGCTCTGAGGTTGAAGTATTGAACATGGTTGCTAACAATTCAATCAGGGTACACCCCAACCTCCCAACACGGATGACGAGGCTGAGTAGATGTGTCAATGACTCTTGGATTTACGATGGTATGAAGATATCTTAGACTTTGCACGTTTTTGCATGGCTCGGCGTTCTATAGAGGGCTGTTTGGTAGAGTGCATTTGGCACCTTGTGGTAGATTCTTAGTTGTTGCGCCTAAAAGTATTCGTTTGTCGTTACACGTATTGCTTCACCTATGCGTCTAATGCAATTCCAAAGGATGATTTCCTGGACGTAAATGACGTAGGGTTGAGTAAGTAATAGTTAAGCATTTTGAGTTCACTATAACTTTCAATTACGTGTGCGGAAGTTACATATACCCAATACACAAAAAGATATATAGTCACTCGATCTACTGATGTAGATCAAGGTCCAATGTTCAGCTGTTGCCGCACTTTGATATCGCGTACCAACACCGCCCGTATTACGAGTGTGCTCCGTGTGTTTGTGTCATACAATATGCAGCCTGCCCGAAGCTTCCAAAGTATGAGTGGTAGGATCATGCCCGATCTATGTAGATAGTTTCATCATGCTCCTTTAAAGACACACATAATAGATGCGTTTATTTCAATTGGTCAGATGATGGAAAGTTGGAGCATAGGATCGCCTTAGGGTCCCAAGGCTCGATATCGAGCCAAAATTATAAGTGATTAGTACCATGAATTGTAGCCTTTTATGTAAAATTGATCTCTTTGAGTGTACTAAGGGCTCGAGGTGGAACAAATCTACGTGGATGTTTGCTCCTTCCACATCCACATCTTTCCCTCTCACTTCACTTCGCCTCACCGCTCTGGCCCGAGCAAACGCTGAGCATCCACAATCTGGACCCTGAACCAGGTACCAATACTGGTTCATGGTGGGGTAGCAAGTGGAACTCGTGAATCTGCTGTCATATATAAGTCTCGGAATCCTTCGTGTTTTCTCCCTCCCACCTTACTCAGCTCTCATCAACTACCATATACTACAAATCTCAAAGAACTCGCAAGCATCAATGAAGTTCCTCATCGCTGCCCTCTATGGAATGGTAGCGCTCGCTGGGACGCTACCCGCCCATGACCCTGAGGAATTCAGATTCAGTTACCGTAACGACGGCCTAAACGTGTGCGTACACCCACTTTAAACCAGGACGACCCGAGGGTCTAACATTGAACAGTTACGAGTGCAACAAAAATGACCTTATGGTTTGCGCCAAACCTCAAGTTTGTGCAATCATAGAGAAATGCGAGAAGAGCTGCATTTTCAATAGCGATGGGGCCGATTGCATTCGTAAGGGCGAGATAAATTACGATTTCCTGTACGTACATAATCGATTTGGGCTGTTTGACCTTGTAGCTAACATGACCTAGTGCCTATTACTATGAGCATCCAGAATTGGACATGAATATCCATATAGATCCCAATGAAAATTGGGAATCGAAGAAACCAGCTAGCCCGGAGAAGCGCCAGAGCAGTGGTCAGACCAACCAGCTCATTTCTTCCGGCATTAACAAAGACGATACTGTAACAGAGAAGACATACGAGTGTTCAAACGACCATACCGGCGTCCTGGTCTGCCAGTATGGATTCTGCTCGACCGATCACTACTGCAAGAAGGGAATAAGGTGCAGCGACAATTGCAGCTGCTGCAGGAGGGGTTTGGAAGAAGTTGAAGGTTCCGACACGGTAAGTCGACAGCCTTAGGCATTTGTTATCACGCGCTCCCCTATTTCTCCCACATCATGGGCACTGCCACGTTTGATAGCTGCAGAAAAGACCAGACTTGGCATCGGTCATGTCGAGAACTCAACTTGATGGCCATGCAATACAACATCGCCACCTGGTGGTTGTTCGCAATAGCACTTCTCAGATGACAATTTAACTAACAACACTTTGTAGACTCAAATCCTGCCGAGATCAACCGAGCTCGCTCCGCGCGGAGGATGTACCCCCGGCAAGTACACTTGCAATATTAATCCTTTCACGAATTCGGCCTGGATCCTCACTTGCAACCCGAAGGGAGAGTGGCAATACTCGTCCGATTGTGGTACCGACAAGTGCATTGAATCCCCAGAAGGTGTTGCGCACTGCGTTGCTAAGACCAACTAAGAACCACACTGACTATGTAGCTTAATGTGGTGACCTCCTTTGCCTTTTCCAAAGGCATGAGAATGACTACAGGGCAGGTGCCATAATTGAAACCAAGGGTCTGGGGTAGAACGACGGGCATGGGCCTTGCAGTCAACATCGTGATCGAAAAATGGGCGAGGAATAACGTGGCTGACGTAGCGTAAATCCTCATCGAAGGGTCTATATGTATTAGCATAATGCAGGAAGACCTTGCTGCCATCATTCTGTTTCCTCGTCCAACCACTGCTGACCCATGATATGTAGCTGAGGCTGTGACTAGTGATGGAAGTGAAAGATGCAGCTCAATGAAGCGTCGAGGTCGAAGTCGATCGATCGAGCACGATGTGGCTAATAGTTGGTGGCGCTAAGCATCTCGATTCCGCGGCATTTGTGAAGCTTAGCGCCTGCACAAAGTATCGCACAAGCTTCAATGCCGTGCCTTTACAAAATATGCTCGACCCAGACGTATAGTAGACGCGCCCAGAACACGTCCAGCGATATTAATAAACACCAAAAAATCGCTTAAGACTACATGATGAAGACGTCTTGACCGACAAAAGGCCCTTTCCAAACTAGTGGGGCTCTTGTCCTTCTCCCGCGCCTAGTCTCAGATCGACATCGCGCGTCTGCATACACTCGTCATAGGTCCTGGAAAAAGCCTCTTCTAGTCAAACATTCAAGCAATGATGTGCCCTAGCTGTGTGACCAAGGAATCACAAAGTAGCGTTGGAATGGATACCGCTATTTCTTTCTGCATGTACGTCAGACCTTCAGGGTTGAGATGCGAGGTAGTCTAGAGCTTGCGATTCCCAGCTTATTCCACGTTCCTTTACATTTGTTACCTCTCTCTCTTTATCTGCTTGTTTGAAGTAACTTGCCCGAAGCCCAGGCATCAGGGTGCCCTCTCAACCACCACAATGTCCTTCCTCGTGGAACACGCGAAGCAGGCTATCACGGACAAGCAAACCAATGTTGTGATCTTCTCCGCCACAGCCATTGCACTGTACGGCTACGACCAGGGCATGATGTCCCTGATCAACACCAACAAACACTACCTTTTCACCATGGGGTTGGCTGAAGAATCGCCCATGGTCGGTGTCATAGTAGCAGTATACTACCTCGGTTGCGCCGTGGGCGCCGTCCTCTTTTCCAAGCTCGCCGACGCCTTAGGCCGCAAGAAGAGCATCTTCTTCAGTCTCGCAACCGCTAGTTTGGGCAACGGCATCATGTTTATCGCAGGCATGGGTATGCTGGGAAAGAGCAGCTCCATCGCATTAGGCGTCATGTTAACCGGTCGTGTGATTATGGGCCTGGGTGTAGGAGGCATCGACGCTGTCATCCCCACGTACTCGAGCGAACTCAGTTCCGACGATTCTCGCGGCAAAGCGCTAGCTCAGGAGTTCCAAAGCAACATCTTCGGGCTCGTCATGGCGTTTGGAATCAACTTGTTCGTCACCATTCTCCTCGGCAAATGGAACGAGTGGGCATGGCGAATTCCGATCATCGTCATGCAGGTTTATCCCGTGCTGCTCATGGCGTTTGTGGAAAGGTTGCCCGAGTCGCCAAGGTGGTTCATCTTCCATGATAGGCAGGATGATGCCAAAGAGGCGCTGAGCGAGATTTATGGGGATGAGGGCAAAGAAAAGTTTGATGAGTTGCTTGAGCAGCATGAGAAGGAGAAGGATGAGAAGGTCGGGTATTGGGAGATGTTGACACCGGGACATCAGCAGTTCCATCCTACCATGATGACGGTTATGTGCCAGGTTAATCAGGCGTTGACGGGTTACGGGGCGGTTAGTGTGTATGGGCCGCAGATTTTTGAGGTTTGTTCTGATTCAATCACGATCTTGGAAGAGAAATACTAACAGAAAAAACAGCTTCTAGGCTTCTCAGTCCGCAACTCGGAATACCTGACGCTCGGAAACTACACCTCCTACTTCTTCCTCATGACACTCGCCTGGCTCCTCATTGATGCCCTCGGCCGCCGCAAGCTCCTCATTCACGGCTCCACTATCCTCTCCACGTCTTTCGCACTCCTCGCTCTCTTTGGCGGCCTCGTAGCAAACTCATCGGACTTGCACATCCCCGTCCTCATCCCCGGCATCATCGGAACTGTCATTCTCTTCGTCGCAACCGGCGCTTTTGGAATCGGCTGGCTCTCTACCGTCTGGCTGTTCCCCACCGAGGTCTTCCCCACGACTGCACGCGCCCAGGGCACCGCAATCTCCGTTATCATTTGGGGTCTTGCTAACTTTGGAATCACATTCCTCACGCCTGTGCTGTTCAACAACCTGGATTATTTTATCTTTTTGGTGTTTGCAGCGACGAATGCGTTTGCGGGACTGTGGACATACTTCTATCTGCCTGAGACTGGGGGTCGGACGTTTGATGAGAATATGGATTTCTTCAAGGAGGCCGCGGAGCAGGGGACGTGGAGGGTCGCCAAGGTGGGCAAGGGCGAGTGGAAGAAGATGCTTTACCCGGACCCGGAGGGCGAGGGCAATGTAGATGCTGAGAGGGTGCCGTTATTGAGGAGGGTTGAGGATCAGGTGCCGAGTGTGGAGTAAGTGGAGAGCAGAGAGAAGGGATTGGCGACTTCTGCTTGTGGATTGCTGCACGGCGTTAACAGGGAAAAGGTTGTCAGGTATGTTTGGAATTAGAAAGTTGAAAAGATTGTGAAGATTAACGACTGTCTTCAAAGCGAATTATTATTACCCTCTGGCATTAGAATGAAACAAATATCCCTTTGAAGAGTATCACGGTATTAGATATTAAAACATTTGTTAAACCTTAAGATAAGCTCAGTATGCTAATCAAATAAATATAAGAAGGAAATAACCGGGTATATTCGAAAAGGTAGTACTATCACATAAAAACTGACCATCCCATGCATTCAAAGACCGTGGGAAACCGAAAAAGCTCAGTACCTTTAGTGTTCCATCCCAGCATATCAAGAGACGTCCACGCACATTCCGGCGCTTAAAGCGGGATTGCGCGCTATAGCCCCCACTCTCCTTTCCCATTCCCGCCGCCGCTCCCTTTGCCCCCCACACGTCGTCCACTCCCTTCCATGCATAGGCCAATGGAAAATGTTGAAAAGTCAGCATCGGGCCGACTGATGGAGTGCGATCATGTAATGATCTACGGTGGACGCGTAGTCGAGCTTTGTAAGATGTACATTCTAGAAGCAATCAAGGGATTCAACACAGCGGTTCTGTGTCTGTGGTGCTCGAGCCCGATTGAGCTTGAGAAGTAGATGATGAATTTGGTCTGGGAAAACAGGAATTGGATCCTCCGCAGCGCATCCGGTCCGTTCTGGGTTGCTGTAAGCATATAGTGTCGCTTTCGCGTAGTCGGTGAAATGGAACAAATCAAGCTTCGCAACGCAAGGGAACCAGGGCTCCAGCGTTGAGAGGAGAGACAGGCGGAAAGGGCGACCTTCTCATGCGCATCGTGCCTTGCGACAGTACATCTCGGTGAAATCCGTCTCGAAGAGGCCATCGTGCACCGCCGATGTCGAAGTCGCCATGTGAGGGTGTGGTGGGAGCGGGTCGAGATGTGCGCATATCTCTGGCATCTATTTGATCTGTTAGAAATTACAGCTAGTTAACTGAGATGGTGTGGTAGAAGCAACATACTGAGCACGCGGAATCTGATCGCGGTCTTGCCTGTGGCAGTTGCATGTTTGCTTCTGCTTCTGCTGCTTGCATCTCGTATGTATACGTGATGCGCAGCAAGTCATGGATTGAGAGATATGTAGTCGACATAATTCCTTGTCTCTTGCACTGTCGTGTTGTTGTAGGAAGAGTAATAGTTGGTAGTTGTCCGGGTGTTTCAGCTCAGGGACGACTGGTGGGAGTAGCAGATTCGAAGGGAGCGAGGTGAAGTAGATAAGTCCTTTGCCTATATGGCAACCCCCGTTTGCGTGTCCCGGTTGCCCCGTGTCAGATCGCCCTGTTTTGTGCGTTGCCGTTGCTCACAAACACGTGTGCTGCTATTGGTCCGGGATTGTTGGCCACCGAAAGTCAACTCTGGCCGTTGATCAAGTTGGGAAAACGGTATTGTTTGATGGTGCTAATGTATATACGCTCGACCCTTTACATGTGATGTATCTTGAGTACCAGGTAATTAAATGATAAGTGATCGGTAGAAAGCAAAAAACACTGTCTGTAGGCACGAGGGGTCCAGACAGATATATGCAATTCACCTGCGCCCTCTATGGCGCTAAACTTCAAACCAGACTAGTTTCAATCGGAGCTTGTCAAAGCCCGACTCTTCATGCATCAGGTATGGTCCGTGCATACCCACAAAGCAGCTCATTGGCCTGTGGTGGACAAGTCTGACCGTTGAAACATCGGGTCTATCGCTTTGCTATCGGTTTTCAGGTGTGAATCCTGCTACCTGGGTGGCTTGTGACGAGATAAGTGGCGAAATTGCGGATGAGTGAGGAATAGTCGGACATAAGGGCCTCAAGTCCGGAGTCCGAGATGAGCGAGCCGAGCGGGTAGGGACGAAGGCAACAGCATTCAAGCATGCCACCATGAAGTCATTTACGATATCTTCTAGAGTAGACAACTGAGTAGGTATACCGGTTACTGCTAACAGGAACAAGGAACATATCTACTCTCATGTCTTTCTCAGTCATACGTGGCCCTGCCCCCTTCCTCTCTAGCATACCCCCTACTTATTCTTACCCATTGCAATCAACCTTCCGGTCCCATCAACAACAAACACCTTCCCATCTCCGAATACCGGTCTTCCAAACCTCACCGCACCCTCGACCTTTGGCAGCGGCAACTCAACTAACGATCCATTCACTGGCACCGCTCTGTACGCTCTCAACCCCTGCTGTACATCTGTGGCCCATATAATCCCTGTACCAGGCTTACCTTTGTAGCTGGTGACCGTTGGTAGCCCAGAGCCACCCCAGTGCCCATTAACTAGAGAAGCCTTGCCCACAAAACTGAACAACGAAGAGGACGTGGAGTTTTGTGTGAAAGCGTAAGCGGATAGTCCCGTGTTGCCCGGATTGACGTAGATATACCCACCTTCCAAAGGGAAGCTGGCTATGCCGCCGAACACCTCGCCGTCTAGTGGTATTGTCTGTAAAATACCGTCTGTTGTTCCATTGCCGCCTTGCAGATACCCTCCTAGATCATCTACGCGCGTAACGTACAGTTTCGGATTTGTAGACGTGGCGACACCAATACGTGCTCCATCGTGAGATCTGAAGACGGCGGCGTCGAGGAGGCCGAAACCACCGCTTCCGATGTCTTCGCCTGAGTCTTGCTGCCAGTCTGAGGGGCGGAAGAAATCGACGAGTTGGATGCCAAGGCCAGAGTCTTCAGAGAGAGTGACACGTGCTACGGTTTCAGAGAGAACAGTAAGAGGGAAGTGGCCGGAGCGGGGGGCTGTATCGAGCGTAGTCGATGTCGAACCGCCACCATTATCGATGGTGAAGAAGACATCTTTCCCGTTGGAAGAGAGACCCATGCCTGCTTGCCATATACCTCCTGCCCCGCCGCCATGCCATGAAGTCCAGTCGTTTGTATACAAACTCGCGTTTCCAGCCTGGGTAGTCCAGGTATATGTGCTCTGTGTGGCCAGATTGACAGCCACAATGCTACCCGTGTAATTGAAAGCGTCGCACAAGCCTCCGAAACCAGCGTATAGCACATCGCCCAACAGCAGAAGAGCAGGCCTCTGCAGAACCAAGCCGCCCAAAAAGATCTTGCGTGCATCGTTGTCAGAAGGCTGGCCATCGATGACCATAGGGTACTTGTACAAATCCTGCAATGTGTCTAAATACACCCCGTACAAATAGTACACGGAATTGAGCGGCGGATAAGCTCCACCTTGTTCACGATAATCCTCAATGTAGCTCTTGACGTAGAAGAACGCAATCTCGTTTTCCGCTTCGCGGTAGATGACCGGTGTTCCCATAATTCCTAGTGTCGGGCTGACAAGCTTTGTGCAGTATGCGCGGTCCATGGGCCATGGTGGTGCTACCTGGCGTTCATGCAACAACTCACCCGTCTCTGCATCGAAAGTACGAATACGGTTTTCAGTCGAGGCGGTAAAGACAATCTGCCGGCCGGTGGATCTGAGGGTGTGCACGAGGGGGCGAGCCCAATGCTATTTATGATTAGAAGAGGAGTGTGCGTTGAGAGAGCGACTTTGGCGAGACATACTTTCTCGTCTGAATTGAATGTGGCGTTCCATATCTGCGTGAAGTGCGGAAGATCTGATGGATCTATGTTGTGGTCACCACCGAGATAGGAAGACTGGTATATGTCTGAGTCTTGGGGCGAGTCGGCAGGTGCACCTGTTGTTTGCGCTCCCGTGAGAGCCCAAAAATTGGAAAATAACAGCAAGATGGCAGTGATGGATGCTGCTAAGCGCATGTTGGAATCTGCTCTGTATACTACCTAGGCAGACTCTATAACTTATGGAGCAAACGCGAACACTACACCAAGACACCATGCCTAGTCTGAGGAGGACGACAGTACTTATGTGAATAATTGGGCTCCCAGGTTCATAACTGCAATTTGCCCTCAAAGCATAATACTATAGATCGGTGGGGTAGGATCGCCTTTCAATTTAAACAGTATGACTTGCGGCATTGGTACGTGGGTATCGAAGTTACCGGGTATTCTACGTGACCAGGGTAGACATGTGGTGCAGATTGAGTTTGTGGGGCACATTATCCTACGTCAATCGGATGCTGTTCGGATATTTCTCTTCAATTTATGTCGCCAGTGCAGCAGGATTATTTACTTGCCATTTCTGGGATAAGTTACTACCGTACGTGCAGTGTAACTTAGGGATGTTCAATTGTAATGTAGCGAGAAGCTCTAGGTGTTCAAGGAACAAGATGCAACTATTTCGCTCATTGACGGCTTGACGTCATGCCATTCCACTGCTCCTAAGTCTATTCTGTCAAGAACAAGGTTTCTAAGAGCCGACTTAGCTCTGGTAGAGTTTTGGAAGCTGTTATCCCTGCAACGCGATCCTAAGTATAATTAGGTTGGTTGGGTTAGGGAACAACGTCATAAAAGCTAGTCTGCCTACAGGCTTTGCGCGAACCACTATTTGTATCAATAACACATGTCTATAATAATACAGATATCCCCAAATGACAAGAGTGGAAGCATTCGACTTGGAGGCAAGTCCTAGAAGGAATCAAAGCGGTAAATCTCCTCCTGCACTTGCTTGTAAAGCTTCATGTGCTACAACTCTACAAGAAGCAGAAGGTGAAAAGCTCCGAAACCTATAATTGCGTATGAAGATGATATGGGTTTTAGTGCTTAATTGCTGTGCTCAATTGCAGTGCTCGATTGCGGATGTTTGACTGCAGCATGATAGGAAGGAGCCGCGATAAGAATAAGCAAAAAGAGACATACTCGTTATCTAAGGTACCTTAAATCACCTCAACAATCTTCAAGAGGCTGGTGTGTTCTATGGTTAAAAGGTAAATAGAAGTGTAATAGCAGCCAGGAGTTGAATGCAGTAAGGGTTAAACATCTTAGTTAGAATGGGCAAAAAAAGGTTCAGTGCAGGTGTTAATTACATACCTGCCTGCACCTACGTCCTTTGCCGGATTCGAATGTCGTACCTCGCCGCTTGTCGTTGACCTCTGGATCCGGATACAGAAATTCCACTCACCTAAAACAGATTCCCCGTTACACCACTCTACCCCCCTGCCACATTTCCAGGCTGTGGTCCCACCCAGTTTCGATGGATGAAAGTGTTGTTAATTAAGATATATGGTCATTGAAAGTATGTTGTGGCGGGTGTAGTTGAAATTTAGTCTTCTGCAAAATAGGCGGCGTGACTGTGTGGGCTTTTCGCTAAGGCAGCAACGTGGCAGGGTTCCTGGCGACAGGAGGGGTCCTATCAGCATTATAGTGCTTCGTCTGATCTTCAACTCGGTTGTGGTGGCTGCTATGCCCATCTAAGTCTTCTCTGCAGCTGCAGACTTGAACCCCCTCCCTCTCCTTTACTTCATTGTCGTGCATACACGCCGGTTGGACTTGGTAACCATAAGCAAGTATGTCTTACTGCCATTGCCTCTAAGTGCAGCTCTTCGTGGTGCTGCATCTTAACTGCTTGTCTCATGGCGCGCCTTGGCACGAAGTTGATATCGCCTCCCCTCTCAACAGCGACAACTCCATCACAACACCAACCCCGCACGAACAAAGACAATACTCTTCCTGATGAGTATCGCCTGATACACCCTGTGCAAAGAAATGCGGTATTATGCATCCTAGACGTTGCGCGTATGCGGGTATCCGATGCGAAGACAGCTTTCAGCAACATCCGGAAAGACACCCACAGGGCTGATGACCCCTCTGCAAGACGCCATTGACCATTGGAATTACCAGCATAGTGATCCATGGCCCTCTGCAAGTATTTCCAACGTTGGAGGCATCTAGTGTGCACACCTAGTAGACAGTCGGCGCAACAGTAAGCACTCTAACCCATGCGACAGGACACTCACACGGATGAAAGCTCTACCGAAAAACTTAACCGACTTTGAGGAAACATAGAAGCAGCCGTACGCATAGCCTGTATAGTCTCTTCGCAGTACGAGTCCAAGTCCGTCGAATGAGCTCGACGCCACCAGATGCGCAGGCACGCCTCCCACCTTCGAGCGAGCACCCTTCGAGTGACAACAGCCATGATCCAAGTCTGACCAGGCTGAGTGCCAATATTGCGTGAACAACGTCATTGTTTGCGTATAGTGTACATCGGACAGCCTCTATGCAGAAGGCAGCATCCACCGCAGCATCCGCCACGGAAGTCTCGACAATAGCCAAGTGTCCAGGAAGAACAAAACCACCCTTGTAGAGATTCGGAATTGACAATGAAAGAGACTTGAGAGAAGGAGAAGGAATCACAAGCGCACTCGGTACAGCGGATGCAACTTCTTCGAAGTGACCGGATCTGTGACTCATGTAGGCCAAATAGAGGAATCCGAGGAGTACATATATATGCGGAGACTGACAGTAATCTCATAGTAAAGACCGGTCGACTTGCCAATGCCATGGCTCATCCGCGGCTCCTTCCTCGTGGACTCGGCGAATCTCAGGTGCCCTTTCCCTTCCGATGCATGCTTCGCCTATGCGCCCAAACAACCCCGCCCAAGTTGAGGAGACACAAAGTAAGGAAACGTCTGCGAACTCTCATGTAGCACTCACTTTGAAGGCGATGCGCCCACTTAAGCGACTACCCCAGAATGTTACCAAGATCCAGGAATGCCCACTCCTAAGTGGCGACAAAGCATGCGCACAGGCCAGATAGCGAGGGTAAGCGCACCGTTGTCACCGAACCCTCGATACAACTAGTGAATTGGCTGCAGGTAAGCTCGCTGTACTCGAGGAACCGGTTTGGGGTCAATATCACCGACCAATCAACAAGACAGAACACCTGAATCTGTCCAAGTATGCACCTGAAGCGATCGATCAAATCGGATGGGGAGTATTGAGCGCCAATGAATCGCATGGCCCCGGATACAGCTCTGACGACACTCACGTACCGCGATATCCATATGACTAGAGAAGTGTCACCGATAGGAGCAACGCCACGTCCTCTAACCGGAACACTCGACAGATTGAACATTTGGGACAACGGCAACGATACAAGCCCAGGCATACGAGCGTCCTTAGGAGGATCGTACAAGGGCCTGCTACCAAAGACCGTAACAACTAGTCTTGGTCTCCATGGCATATGCATTTCCATGCCTTGCTATGGCCCCAGCACGATTCGTGCTAGGCCCTAGCAAGATGCGGAATAGGCGGCAAATCCCAGTAGGTATGAGTGTATCTCAGGCATTCGAAGTCTCAACAGGATTGTGCCTTCAACCAAGCGGATCGAATCGGCAGAGCCTGCGCTCAACAAAGGCAGATGTCAAACAAGCTTCCACAGGCAAGCAGCAGCACCACACCGGCATATTAGAATACCTTGGAAGCTTGCTGTGACCTACATTGTGCTTCATCCTTGCAGGAAGTCACCACCCAAGAACCAATCAACCCTATGACAGGGTACAGGACAGTGGAATTGTGGGCAAAATACTGATTACATAGATGCGAGGAGAACACCACAGTCGTAACTCGACACTTCGAAAGCTGTGTACAGCATGCTCGATCGGTGGAAAAGATGCCCCACCTGCCTAAGCCATCGAAGACCATCTTTCGACAGGGTAAGACATGCGACGTATGCCATAATCGCCAATCCTAGTCAAGGCAGGTCAACATCCATCCCCTGTTGGAAGTGACCTTTGGTGGATGACCATCGCCTGAAACGGCAAGGAGAACCCATGGAATCACTGTCGGAGACACTTCCTGCATCTTCCCATACAACAATGAATTATGTTCTCTTCAGCCTGGAGCAACTTCATTGTTGTAGTGGGATATGTCGCCCAGCCTTTCCACAGATCATCGGACGGCGAACTGAGTCTTCGGCGCCTCTTGTGCGCAACTTTTGAACTGCATTGAGACGATACATACGACCGTTGTTGAGAAGACATGAGACCGCTGACCAGATCGCTTGAGCGGTGTGCTACACCACTTCCTGTCGATTGAAGCAATCCTCAGGCCTGAACTAGCTTGGCAAGTGCGTCAAGTGTAGCATTAACACTGCTGACAGCTGAGAGGTACCCATATGCTGATCCAGCGGGTCAGTATCTTACAAAGCCATCATGGCTATTGTGTCTTCTTGTTCATCCTAGCAGATTGAGAAAGAGGCTAGATGTTTGCCCGGTCTGCAGATATGCGTGCAAAATGCATCAAAAGAAGTATCTAGAGATCTCGGCAATGAGGAGCGCCAGGAAAAGAGGCCGGCCAACAGCTTCTATCCAGTTGAGGTTGTTGGCGTATTGAAGCTTGCCTTCTCAGATTGATGTTGCAGCATGCCGGACTACTGCTTGCAAATTCAGTGGCCAGTTGAACTATACTCTTCAACTCCTACAGCCCAATTGCTGTGCTCGCTCGCCCTTGTCAAATCGGTCGTGTGCGCAGTCGAGCTGAGGATTTTGTTGGAATGCCGCAACAGTATACATTCTTGAACAAAACATGTCGACTGTTCTGAATCCGAGATGTCGACACTGCCCAGATGATGGGTACTCATACATACTGCTGTACATCGATGCTGAGCTGAGCCGGACGTGGCTTGCAAGGGCTCTTGTGCACAAACAAGACATCATCGGTGCGACCAGCTTTGAGCTTATCGACAATGATTGTAATACGCTGTGAGCTTTGGGCGAGCTTGGTGTTGTCGTTGGACCGATGGCGCTGAACGAAGAATCGGTGTCGCTTTGGCTGAGAACGTGGGGAGCGGCAAGACACTTTACGCTCAAGTGAAGTTCGATTGAGGCTTGTCCCATCTGCGAAATTTTGCAATCGCTGCCGTGAGCGAACATGTTGCCCATTGTGCGCTGTTCAGCCCGGTGATATCCCTTCCGCCTATCCATCCAGGTGCCGACAGTAGACATGGTATATGGCATGTTGCCGTCTTTGTATATCCTACGTTCCTATTCGTATGATTCGCCGATGTTCTGGAAACTCGTATTTGTACTTCGCCGACGTCTTGCTTTATATCGCGGTGTTCGTGCATGGGGATGCGCGGTTCGTGGATAAAAGGGTGTACAAGTCGCCCATACCCAGATGGTGTCCATAGCGGAGTCTGAGAGTCGCCTTGCAGGGTCTCTGCAACTTGGAATACCGGAAATGTGATACGCTGCTGATCCAGTTGTCCATGATGCGGACGAGGTAAAGCCGAATCCCAGATGCGCGCAGTAAGACTGGTGGTGAAAGGGTGTTCATCTTCCGAAATGATGTTCAGCCTCGAGGACACATCTGGGATTGCTGCCAAACAGCGATAGCATAGCTGAGGCTGTTACGGCAGAGCTATCACGAACCCTTTCAACGTGGCTTCGATGTCGCTGCCGCCGCAGTGGATGGGTGTGTCCTAGCGCAAGACCGGATGCCCCGTGGTCGCTAAGCAGAATGTGCGGGCAACGCAAAGATTCGTACTTCGATGAGGCTAACGAAGCTACCGAGGGCGAAGAGAATGCTGTGGAAGCGGGAAAAAAATTACACAGTGTGTACCAAGGGCATCTTTGCCCCTTCTGCAGCCTCCAGGCCTGTCGTTCGCGGGGGATGTGCCGATGTACGCCCATGAGTTCCTGCGGAGAACATCCCAGGCCTGAACGTGCCTACCTAACGCTCAGCGTCATGTATGTCTGAGAAGTGCTGAAGAAGCTCTACACATCTCGTAGAGGTTGTAATTTTCGACGAGAATGGGGGTGGGGTGACGGGAGCGTGGCTGGTAGCATCGTTATGAAAACGCGTTCTGCCGTTTCATAGCGATCTACTACATTAGCAAGGCGCAACAGGGGAAGCGTGCACGCCTATGAAGACTCCAAGACCAGAGAAAGCAGCGCGAGAAACACTCTTGACCCGTCCTGTAGGCTTGATGATGTGGGGGCTGATACTGTGTCTTCTGAATAGCCGCGAGGCGGACGAGCTCCGGGCACGACATGAACCAAGATATGATCAGCAAGTGTCCCGCCCCCACCATTAGGGCGTTTCTCGCGACAAAGTGATGGTCGTCTAAGAATGCACAACATCAACGATGCTCAAACTCAGGGGACAATGATCATGTACATTTTGACATTGACAAAATTCATGGCAACTTGCAGGCAAGGTCCACCATTTCTACTTGAAATTGGCGGCAAACGCATGCGAAGCAACAGACCCCGCTATCACATACATCCAAGACTATTGTCATCATGGGTAAGGAGAAGCTGATGCACGAGCAGTTTGAGAAATTGGTATCGTTATTCATTTCCATGTTCATCGTGTTGGCAAGGACCCAGTGGAAAGAGCCCCATGTGTGTCTCAGTCCTGCCAATGGGGATATATCGCCGCCATGCTATCCAGATGATCCATCCAACGCCATGGCTGTGCAGGGTGTAGAATGGCCAGTACTATAATACAAACGAGATGGTGAGGTTCAGAAGGACAAGTCCGAGTCGCCAACGAATGAGTCGCAACGAACCATGTGAGGAAATAGCTCGGCTGTAATCTCAAAGCGTTTGTTTGGATGCGAGTACAGCGGCTCTGGCAGCTCATGCCCCAGAGTACCACCCCAAAGAGAAAAGACGGTAGTGGGGACATTCAGGGCTTCGCGTACTGCTGGGTCCACTCCTGCGCCGTCTTGACTGCTTGCTTCTCGTCCTCCTTCCAGGCTTGAGCCACGTCGTTGGCCAGAGGGTCGTCCGGGTTGGGAGCACCCAAGAGTGCCTGGATCGAGAGCAGGATGGTGCGGATCTGGAGCGCGGGCGACCAGTTGCCTGGACATGTTAGCAAACTCGGGCGTGTGCAAGATGAGTCTACAGACTTACTCTTCAGCACATCGAGGCAGATGCGCCCCAGACGGTCGATGTTCGGGTGGTAGATCTTGGTGAGGAAGCGAACCTTGGGCGGCGTCATGGGGTAGTCGTCCGGAAGGAACAGCTCCAGCTTGAACACTCCCCCTGCAGTCATTCATGATTAGCCATGGGGTGAAAAGTACAGACTTGCCAAACTTACCCTCGTACGGCGACTGGCTCGGCCCATCGATGGTGACGTCGAAGTACCTCAGGTTGTCGTCGTGCGGTGTTGCCGAGATTCCCTGAACTCTGCACACACGTGTATCAGTACGACTGCAGGAAGACGCGTCTTTTTGGACTTGATGGATACTTACGGCTCGTTGACCAAGCGTTCGGTCTCCTTGATGATTCGTTTGGGCAGCGACATGGCTTAGAGTGGGGCAGGATTCGTTGTTTGTCGAGAAGGTGGGATGGCGAAGGATGTCGTCAACGTGGGCGTACCTGCGGTTGTCCGTAAGGCCAAGTTGAATGAGACGTACTTCTTTTTCGGCGTTGGGAGCGACAAGATGGTGTCGCCTAAGGAAGTTCCACGCCGCCAGCCTTGGATGTTTAAGCTTACTCGAAATGGCCATGCCGGGCGGGCGCACTTGGATCGGCAGGTGGCATGCACATCGGCGGACAGGCGCGAACGAACATTGAAGGGGTCCCGGGGCCATGCCAGGCACGCGCCCCAACTACAAACGACTCCTCATCTCATCGCATATCATCACCATTCGACCACACCAAAACTTGAGAGCTGCTGGGGCCAAGAATGGCCGCCACCGTAGGTGGACCATCGGCATTCGAGTCGCCAACATTCCACCGCGATCTCTCCATCATAGTGGACGATGAGATTGGCGCCGCGAGCATTAGTCCAGCAGGTCGTGACGTCGTGCTCGCGAGCAAGAGTGGCCTTCGCATCATAGATCTGGACGATCCGTGGTCGCTGCCTCTCTTTATTCCAAATCAATCGTCGTGGGATGTGGCTGATGTGCAATGGTCTCCCTTTGCAGCACGCGCAGAATGGATCGCGTCGACCCGGAACCAGCTTGCCTTGGTGTACAACCTTTCCATGCCATATAACAACAAAAAAGCGCCTATCGAGTATACTCTACGCGCTCATGATCGAGCTATTACAGACATCAACTTCTCTGCCCACCATCCAGATCTCCTCGCAACATGTGGTGTAGACAGCTTTGTCTTCGTGCATGACCTCCGCAGCAGACAGGCACCCTTGAAACTTGCCGACTAC